GCTCCTCCCCCGCCGCCGCTCCTGACCGGTGGGACATCCGCCTGCAGCCCCTCAGGAGCCGCCGCCGCCGCTGGGGGCCCTCCGGCTGTGCTGAGGGAGGCGGTGGAGGCCGTGGTGCGGAGCTTCGCCAAGCACACGCAGGGCTACGGCCGCGGTGAGGACCGGGATGAGGAGGAGGAGGAGGAGGATGATGGCGGGGTGGTGGTGGTCCTTCTTTTGGTCTACGCCTCCCAGTATCGTTGTCGTTAAAAAAAAAGCCATTGCCAAGTTCTGTCGGTGGGCCTCTGAGCATGTGCAGAGCGCCCCGCGCCCAGAGGGCGATGGGGGAGGGTGGTTTCTGGGACGACGGTGCCTCTGAGCACAAGCAGAGTGCTGCCTTCCTTGCCAGGGGGGAGGTGGGTGGGTGCGAAAGGCGCCCCAGGGGGTGGCCTCCAAGGTATGCCTGAACATGTGCAGAGTGCCTTCCGACACCCAAGGCATGCCTGAACATGTGCAGAGTGCCTTCTGACACAGCGTTGGTGAATGTAGGCAGATAAGCTCTTATCTATCTATCTATCTATCTATCTATCTATCTATCTATCTATCTATCTATCTATCGACATCTGAACATGTGCAGAGTGCCTTCGGACAATTTCAGGAGAGCGTTCCCTCAGATACACGCAAATAACTTTTTTAGAATCTGTATATCAGAATATGCGTCTGTGAAAAGCAGACAGGATTTGACTTAAATCGCCATGTCCAAGCTCTCTGGATCAGCCCCTAGAGAGGCTCTGAGCATGTGCAGAGTACCTGGCCAGGGAGCGAAATAAAAACACCTCCCAGTCTTTTTAAAAAAAACATTTTAATTTAAAAATATGTTTTTTTTAAAATTTAAATCTTGGTTTAAATTGAGCCAGGGAGCGAAATAAAAACACCTCCCAGTCTTTTTTTAAAAAACCATTTTAATTTAAAAATATGTTTTTTTTAGTTTAAATTGATTTTTTTTTTAAAAATCATTAATTTTTATCCCCCCTCCTCCGAAGTCATCTTTCTTTTTTTCATTAATAAAAAGGGGGGTTGTGAAGAAAAGCAAGTACAGTAGCAGCAAATCTTCACCCTGTACACACTTTTCCCGGCTGTCTGTCTTCTGTTTTGACAACGGGATGCAGAAAAGGAGGAGATAATTCAGCCGAAGCCAGCCAAAACCCCAAGTTGCCTAGAGAGAGAGAGAAAAAAGCACAGAGCAAAGCAGAAAATAGCAACAGTAGAAGTGGAGATGATGAAAGGACAGACAGGTCTGCTGGAAAAATCCATGTCCTGAATGTTTGCTACAGGAGAGTGGTTGATGGAGGATGGTGGCTTATTTTAATTTTCCCTACGGGAGACAGTCTTAGTGTTTTTCACCCTGTGAACCAAAACTCCTATAATTCAATAACACGTGTATAGATAATTGTGTGTGTATACAGTACTTCTTTTCAGGGCAAAGACCTTCCGGGGCCAGATTGTAGTACAATATCCCTCCTGTGTCCTTCCGTGTACATAATCGGGACATTGTATTACAGGGGCTGACTAATGATGCTTGAGGAGGATGGTTCTGCAGGGTTTACAGTCCAAGAGAGCTCATCTATTGTGTTTGTGACGTTGAAAGATGAAGGCAAGGAGCACTGCCTGACCAGCGTGTCAGTGAATGGAGGGATCGGTGGTCAGGTCTTCTTACCGTTTCAGAGAACTTTTGACTCAGCCGTGACTAGAATCTGAAAATGGGGGCCGTTTCAGACTTTGCAAACGAGAATTCCATTTGTTCACTTATTTTTGATCACTGACACTTCCACCTTTGCTTCCCAGCGCTTAAAACGCGCAATACCGAAATGCACTCTTCCACGCCTGTGGTTTTGATCGGTGGTCAGGTCTTCTTACCGTTTCAGAGAACTTTTGACTCAGCCGTGACTAGAATCTGAAAATGGGGGCCGTTTCAGACTTTGCAAACGAGAATTCCATTTGTTCACTTATTTTTGATCACTGACACTTCCACCTTTGCTTCCCAGCGCTTAAAATGCGCAATACCGAAATGTACTCTTCCACGCCTGTGGTTTCTTCGGCAGCTTGATGTTTGTCATATTCTGGCTTAGACCCAGCTTGACAGGCGTACGTCTGAAACGTTTATGGTTTCAGTCGGTGTTTCAATCCGTAAATAGTACATCTGGTCTCTCACAGCGCTTTGGAAAGCATAGCTGCTTCTGCATACCCCCAAATGACATTTGAGGGGAAGGGGTATCTTATTCAGACTGGCTGCCTTTTGGGGAGATGCTTGTGAACAATCACTCTCTGCCTGCTGTACATTTTGTTGTTCTTTAGATGGATCACCTGGGTCGTTTTCATGGCTTGCTTGGTTGTCTTAGGAAATGAGTGTCATGGGAGAGAAGGGGTGGCTAATATGTGGGGGTTCTGCAGGTAAAGAGTTGGAGCACTTTCTCCTGCTCCGGATGGGGAATGTGGTGGCTGTTGGGAGTCGGCCCTGATATCATTGCTGTAACAGCAGGACCGGTAGGCGCCTTGCGCATGTTAAGCAGTAAATCCTTGATAGGCAGCTTTGTGACTTAAACACGGCCCTCCCTTTCTGGCTCTGGCAGGCTCTCCGGGCATGTGGAATCATTTACTCTTTCCTATTGAGTATGCAAGGCAGATGTCCTGTTATAGACCAGGCGTGGGCCAGAGTGACGAATCCAAGACTATAAACAATGGATATAAATAACAGCTAAGGGCTCGCTGACGGTAAACATCTGCACTTGGGGAAGGAAAATGAAAAAGCCTGCTTTTCTGACGTTCCAGAGGTTTTGCACGATAATTTATATTTGACTGCTTGCTTAAGAAAAGTATTCATGTTTGCACTTTTGTTTTCTTTCTTTTTTTCTCTTCTTTTTTTTTGAGTCATGGTTTGCTTCTGGCATTGCTTCTGCAGTTGAGCTCCAGTTTCTGTCTTCGCCAGCCCCTTTCTTTGGTAAGATGTGGATCTTGGCAGCCAGTGGTTTGAAGCCACTAGGCAGTCGTGTGTAGGTGGAGGCAAGCCCCGGCTGTAAGGGGCCTCTAAGGCCATGGAGTCCGACCCCCTGCTCAGTGCAGGAATCCAAATCAAAACAGATCTGACAGAGGGGGGCCCCAATTTCCTCTTGAAGGCCTCCAGCATCTTTATACAAGGGAAGAATTCCAGGGCGAGCCAAAGTCCTTTAAATGGAAGAAGGGCACAGAGGGCTCCCTCACCCCCAAGACCAGTGGTTGGTGATACCTGCAGTAAAAGCTGGAAAAAATATGGCCACCAAAAGGTTCTGTTAATTGGATGAATAAATGAGGGATAGGATTAGTGAAGCCAGTGTTCCTCCTTTCGTCTCTGCCTCTTCATTCCAGTCGGGGTGTGTGACAGGGGATCCGAGACGGCTTGGACTTCAAAAATATTTAGCCATAATACACTGCAGTGGGAATTCTTGACTTGGTAGACACAAGAGGATTTTCACGTAGTGGTTTGGGAAAATGGATTACAAAAATTCACGGGAGACAAGAGTATTTGTGGCTACAAGCCATGGCTATTCAGGAACCAAGGCAGCCTACTTTTGTGTAAGTGTTACTGAAGAACAATAGCAGGAAAGAGCTATTACACCCCTGACCTCAGTGCATCATGGAGGGGACATCCCAGAAGTCGTTGACTGGCTGTGAGAAGCAGCTAGATTGCTTGAACAAAACAGCCCCTTAGTCTGGTCCAGCAGGCGTCAACTTGGAGACAGATCTCTTGTTTCAGTTTCCGACAGAATTGTTTTTATTTACGCGATCCATTTCTTTATGTCAGTGTGGAGGATGTGGGGTGTTGTTATTGATCCCAAATACAGTATTTGTGAATGTTTGATATTTCTTTAGAGGCAGCCTTTAAAGGAGACAATTGCAAATGCACCAGCTTTACTAAGTAAACACTCCCCGGTAGGGATGTTTTTTGAATATCTTTTCCTGGAAGGCAGTTTGGGGTGTGCGTGAGTTCAAGCCTGCCTCAAATCGCTAGTATTTGGATAACATTGTCCTTCCATAATATTGTACGGCCAGTAAGAAGTATCTGAGAAGCTGCTCCATGTTAAATATTTTATCTTGTATGTAATGTTTACATACTTTGGATTTAAGGCTTGGCCAACTCTTCGTGGAAACCTTGGACATCTTCAACCTCTTTGCTTGTTATTTGAAATGTTTCTAGCCAAAATAATCATTTCATTTTTACTGGGACCACCTGATGCTCCTTATCGTCTTTTCATAGTCAAAATCTCCAGGCAAACTTTATTTAAGATATAAGACAGCAAGTCGGTCCCTCCCCCTTCTTCCAGGGTTTCATGAGAATGAGGTTATTAAGAATGATCTAATCAAAACGAGATGGAAGTGCTGTCGGCTATCAGGAAGTGGACGCAGGGTTGATTGCTCTGCTGTGGAGTGATGAGATAGCACTCCAGGTACAAAAATGTGTGATGTTTGAGGTTTCTTTTGAATCGCTTGTTGCTTCCAGATATCCAGTTGCATCCTTTGGTTAAGAAAGCTGATCTGGTCCCCGTAGCATAAGCCTAATGACAATAAGCTGCCTTAACTCTACAGTTAGAGCTAGAATTAAAATGAAAGAAATGCAGGGTAGAAATAAGTATACCAATATTACTTAAGCATTGTCTTCTGTTGATGCAAGTCACCTTGAGTCCTGCTTAAGGAGAAAGGTGGTTTAAAATATTTTTCAAAATAATAAATAACATCCCACTCATATTAAAATCTGCACACGGGATTTGGAGCTGTGGTGATTATATCTGGCAAGATAGGTTTGCCCTGAACTAAATTGTTCTCTCTCCCTACTGCAGATAGTTTACAAACGAGATTTGGAATCTAGAACTTCAGATCCTTTCAGCCAAATTAAGCTCTGGTTTGTGGGATGGAAACAGGCATTGAATAAGAGGGTTCCCCCCCCCCCAGTGGACAGGACTTTATTTTTACAGTTCCTTAGCTTTGGAACTCGGCTTGCCTAGCCCACTGTTCACACACCCTGCAGAAGCAATTGTACTTGTCTTATAGCTTGCCAGGTCTGTTCAGTTCCATTCTGTTCTGTTCTGGGAACTGTAGTCTCAAAATGTCACTCTTCCCATTTCTCATTTTTTAATCCCTTTTGTATACACTTTGTTCCCATTTCAAGTAAATCCTCTTCTATGATCCATAACAAGGTCCTCCTTTTCTTGTTATACATTCTGACACCATTTCCCGTCTGTGTCTAGGATATGAAACAAAATCTTAATAATGACACTGGTACAAAAGAACTTTTTCACTCAAGGTGTTGTTGTCCAGCAAGGGGAGGTGAGTGGGTGATTTCCACCCATAACCCCCCATCCCTCTGAGTCTTTTTCTGCCAAGAGCTCTATTGAATGTTTTGTTTCCATTCTATCCCCTGTGCTTTCATCTATCTCTGCAAGAAGGAAAATTGGTTTCTTCTTAAAGTGTGAAATGAGCAGAGGGAGTGTATAATTTGAATTGGCTTCTCAGGGAAGGAAACTTTACTTCTCTTGCATTTGAATGACTGCCTGATTTCCAAAGACCTCCTTTGCTTGCAACTCAGTGGAGCTGCTCCTGAACACTTAGTTGTTTGCATTCCATATTGTAAAGTAGTATTCCATTTTTAATGAGACTTCTGTACTGGAAATATAAGGATTATGGGTCATAACTCTTCCTGTATGTGCATGCATGTGTAAAGTTCTGCAGTAGAGCAGTATTTTACCATGCTGTAATGGTGGAGGAAGAAAAAATGAACAATTTTGTGGCAATATGATTCGCCCAGAAATATATATGTACTGTATATAAATACTTCTCTGCCTTATAACCCCAGAGCCATACATTTCCTATGAAACAGCATATATTACTCTCAAATCATCCTCGTTCTTCATGTAGTGTGACTGTACATTTGACATTTCATCATAAAATATTCTTGTGCCCTCATCTCAAATCAGGGACAGCAGTAGAATTGAAGAATACTGCGAGCCGCGGTGGGCACGTTAATGCCAGGGCCGCTCTGTGAGACTTATTAGTGTGTACTCTTAAATCTTCCCACAGTCTCACAATTTTCAGTTCCTGTCACACTCGTTTGCCAAGATGTGGTGGTGTCTAAAGATCAAGTGGGTTGCTGCTGGACATGCTCTGAATGTATTTCCACGTTGAAATCGGTCCTTTGAGAACCTTCTGCTCCTTCCTGTGCCTTAAAATAATGGACATTTGGCGACTGCTAATTTTTTCCTCCTCATTTTGGGTGCTGGCATTTAGATGCGTTTTATCTGCTCGAATACTGTTTGCCAGGAAGAATATGATGCTTCCCGATTACTTTTTTGCTGCCTTTGCTGTGAAAAGTGACTGCCTTTCCTTCTCAGTAATTCTGATGAAAATGTTATTTCTCCATTTTTTCCAGTCAATGTGGTGGAAGCTCTTCAGGAGTTCTGGCAGATGAAACAGTCACGGGGCGCCGATTTGAAAAACGGGGCCCTCGTGGTTTACGAGATGGTGCCATCCAACAGCCCTCCTTACATCTGCTATGTGACTTTGCCGGGGGGTAGCTGTTTTGGCAGCTTTCAGGTTAGCATGTTTTGGCCAAGTGTTTGGGTGAATGTTGTCTTCTCCTTATGGTAGGAACGAGGGAAAGTTTCCCAAAGATAAAACCTTTGGGGAACTGCAGAGGCTGACCCTTCCTCTCGCCGCCCTCCACAACCGTACCACTAGCTCCAGAATCCACAGTTGATAGCTAAATAACTCTAGCAGTACATCAGGTGTGGGGGAGAGCAGCTGCCTTCATCGCACCCATATCAAAATCTGCACGCGTCTGTTGCAGTGTGGGTGATTCCATCGACAGGATAGCTTTGCCCCAACTAAGTGATTCTCTCTCCTTGCTCCAAAGAGTTTACAGACAGGATTTGGGGCGTAGAGCAGCTGATACTTCCAAGCTGAGTTAAGCTCTGGTTTGTGGGATGGAAACGGCCGTCCAAAATAAACAGTCCTAGTAGCTGAGCTGCCTTACCAGTTGAAGAATGGCACCGGGTGGGATGGTTATAGCTGAGTTTAAAAGCTAATTAATGTTGTTGACAGGCTGAGCTGTGGTATTTCCTTCGGCAAGTAATATGTGCTGACTTCAGCTGCCTATGTAATTCCTTTATTCTGTGCGGCTCGAAGTTGCTGGGCTTTTAAAGCCCGTTTCTAATGACTTCAGCATGTCAGAGAACGGCAGTGTTCCAGCGCCCGGTTATGTAGGTTGAGGAGAACATTAGGATCTGATCAGTCATGGTCATGTAAACACTGTTCTTACAACTGCCCTATTTTCTTCCTCCCCCAGTTTTGTCCAACCAAAGCTGAAGCCAGGAGGAGCGCAGCAAAAATTGCCCTGATGAATTCTGTCTTCAATGAGCATCCTTCCCGGAGAATTACAGATGAGTTTATTGAAAAGAGCGTCTCAGAGGCTCTGGCATCTTTCAATGTAAGTGTTCTGAAAGCCCAGCAGTGGGAAGAACGGGCTTCTGAACCTGGTGCCTAGCAGGTCCAGGCATGCCGTGGAAAGAAACCGCCTTCCTCTTAGGATTGCGCCTAAGAGAGAAACCTCCTCCATGTAAGTGTTCTGAAAGCCCAGCAGTGGGCTTCTGAACCTGGTGCCTAGTAGATCCAGGTATGCTGTGGAAAGAAACCTCCTTCCTCTTAGGATTGCACCTAAGAGAGAAACCTCCTCTCCTTAGGATTGCACTGCCTGGGGTGCAATGGCACCCTGGCTCCCGTCTGCTGAAAACTGGCAAAAATCGGGTGCTTTGGGTGTTTGCCTTCATCACTGCAGATGATCCAATAAATGCGTTGGAAATCGACATTCGGCATCTGTAAGAAAACAGCTTACGTGATGTGAAACCCTGCTTTTGCGCCGCGCATAAGTTGGAAGGAGCCCAAGCAGAGTTCTGGACCCTCCTCTCCTCTTTTCCTTTTTCTGTGTGTGGTTTGGAGAAGGAATTCACCAGTGTTCAGTTTTCCCTCCATAATTCTGGGTTTGTTATGGGAACCAAGGATTGTGGTTCATCACAGGTTTTGACTGCTATGCAAGCCAGTTTCATAATCCTTGGAAGAAATCTTCTCTTCAGTTTGTTTTTACATTGTAACTGCAGCATATCGTGCTCCCCCCCATTTCTTGTTTGGCAGTATGGTACATAAATGTTTATTTTTTTTATCACTCATTATCAGGAAATATCGTTAACAAATTTTCAGAGAGATGATTATTGGCTGGGTAGCCTATGCTTTGGTTACTCTGCTACTCTATGAAAACGAGATAGTTCCTGCCTTTAGTGCTAACAGTGTAAAAGACATGAAAAATGGAGTGGGGAGAGATTAAAACCAGCTCACGAGCCACAAACTTTTCAGCTTAAAAATGGTGGTTCATTTTTGTGAGGACTATCACAGGAATGTAAAAATTCAGATGTATAAAGGAAAGCCTTCATTCTTATTATCAAAATCCCAACCAGGAGCTTGCACAAGCTTTTCTGTAGCATGCTTTCAAGGCTGTTTTAGTTGCTCCGGGTGTATTGGGACTTGGGAGTCCCTGATTTTAATCCACACTTACCTGGTAAATCTGCTTGACCTGTTTTACAGAGTCCTTGTTTTGTGGATAAAAATGAGAGCGGCTAATTTACACTGTCCTGAGCTTCTTGCCAGAAAGGGTATAAATGAAATAAATAAATATGTAATATTAGGTGTCTCTTGAACTTAAAGAAATAATAACTCGCAAGCAAACATCAACTTCCCAGTCTTGTTTTGACCTAAGTACTATGTTGCCCTGCATTCTTCTGATTTGTTTTAAAATGGATCTGCTACATCAAAAGCTGTTTTGTTTTGTTTTTAAAAGAGTATGAGAGTTGTAACTGTATTCTGTTGACCTAAAGTGTTGCTTTATGGGAGGTTCTCCTGTGTTTTCAAGAAAAGGATCCATGTAACACCTTCAAACCTGTAGCTCCAACTTGTGTTCAAACCCTGTGGAAGTGCCTCTTGAGTGTAAAAGTCAATTGCCTGTGGAAATATGGCAAATTCTGCTTATTTGAAGGTGCTTACATGGTTGTGTATTTCCCCTTAGGGCAATAGAGAAGAAGCAGATAATCCAAGTACAGGCATTGGTGCTTTCCGGTTCATGTTGGAATCGAACAAAGGAAAATCCATGTTAGAGTTCCAGGTACGCTCCGGAATTTCATCCAACCTGCCTGTTCTGTGCTGTGGGAACCAGTTGTAGTATAGATGAGGCCGACCAAGCTGTTGGTTTACTTTGCCCATTAGGCAAAATGGAAGGTAGACTGCTAGAAGGGAAACAGATTTTGTTTATAAATACAGTAGTGGCCAGAATTCGACTGAATAATTACGCCAGCATTACATGTAAAATTCAGATTGGTACTATGGTACTTCTTGTTGTGCATTGCAACCAGTGTGTGACTGCTGCCTTATTAACTAGTGGCAAGTCACTGCTGAAATGTATACTAACGGACTTACGCCAGTGAGCATAAGTAATAGAATTTTGGCAAGTTGTTGTTGGGTTGTTTTTTTCCTGCTTCAGACATGAAACACCAACTATAGCAGAAGGTTTGATTTTGTAAACCTCAGGGGAAAAGGGATATGTCCTAGGTTGAAAAATCTGTGCAATATTTTCAGAATAGAGAGTTCAGAGGATTCTTAGGGTCTCTACCAAGTTGTAAACTCTCTGTGTGCATAACAAATTCAGAAGTTTAGTTTGTGCTGTTATTTTGCTTTTAGAGGGAAATAAATGGGTTTGATTAATACTCCTGTCTCGGTGCCTGAGGGAGCTTCTCTTTCCCTTTTGGTGTCTGGGTGCTGGAGATTTCTGCTTGGTAGGATGCTAAAGCAATTCCTCACGATGGCTTATAAAAGCTGCTCTATTGTGTCTCTGCATTGGAGCTCTCTGGAGCAGTTGCTGGCAGCTGTAGAGGAATTTGGTCTAGGGAGAAATGGGCCCCAGAGTTTCACTGTGAGGGGCTGGAAGGGTGCCAGGCGGCCTCTTGAAGCTAGGCGCCTCGGCCTGCCCCTTTTGTTTGGGAAGCCGCTTCCCTTCCTGCTGTCGTCCCCTCGGGTTGGTCTCCCACGTATAGTAACAGCCGAGTAGGTTGAGAAAGCAAGGTTTACATCCATGGGGCTGTTTATACAGTGACTCTATTGCTTGTGTATTGCCTTTGGTTCTTTGCAGTGTGCAAGGGTTTTACTGCTTGTAAAAGGTTTACAAGAGAGATTTTGGCCAAGGCTTCTCCGTGGCTTACTTCTTTTCAAGCACAGTGGTTGTAGGCACAGAACTCTGTAGCACACGAGACATGTGAGAGGGAGATGCTGTAAGATCTCCTGATCATTGTACGACACAACTACAGGCGTCAACCCATTCCCCAAGGGATATAGTGCTGCTTTTTCTCTTCATCCATGCAACAAACTGACTCTGTATTGAGCATTTAAAGTAACAGTACATTTTCCCCCAATCCCCCTGAAGTGTATAAAAGTCTAGGGAAAAGCTGGGAGTTCCATCAGCGATCCCTCTACCATATGACAGGGTAGAAGAGAAAAGCGCAGCAATTCCCGTTTTTATTCCCACGAAAAAGACATGGATTTGTGTTGGATCTTAGCAGGTCATAGCATCTGACCTCCGGATAAAATTTTAAGGATTTAATCTCTTATGGTCAACTTTGCCAGGATTTTCTAGATATCTGACAGGTTTACCGCTCCACTCTTTTGCTTGTGCTTTGAGACTGTACGGCCTGCTCAGGGAAGGCTATACAGGCTAGCTTTTCTCCCAGGAGGCACAGTGAAGAATCAAACCCCTGACCCCTCGCTCTGCAGTACTCTCATTTAAACACTGCCAAGATGGCTTGGATCAATTGTAATGCAATCTACAAAAAAGTATAAAATTGTAAAAGAATATAACAGCATTGAAGCCATTAAAGCCAAAAGCAAGGGGAAGAAGATCGAAACTTCAGGGTATTAGAGAGATTTAAAATTCAGAATTTCACAGCCTTTCTGATGCCAGCATAACGTTGTAGCAGGTGCCCTGGTTGCCTCTCTGGAGAGATGGGGAGAGCATTGGTCCACACCTGTCCTCTTTCCCTTTCCTTGGACTCACTGGCATTGAAATCACGTTTCATACTGGACTCCCCCCCCCACCGTCCCCTCTTTTTTTTGGCAGGAACTGATGACAGTCTTCCAGCTTCTGCACTGGAATGGCAGCCTCAAAGCCATGCGCGAGAGGCAGTGCTCACGGCAGGTAAGCAGAGCCTGGGAAAAGTAATGTGTGTGTGTGTGTCAGCCCAGGATCTGAGTTGAGGGCTGGATAACTTGACTCCACCTGTTGTTGGATGAGTGCCCTTTGTACTGGGACCCCGGAATGGATCCTAACACAGGACAGGTCGTTTTCCCTGTGCAGCATGGGAGGCTGAACTAGGAGAAAGACACATAGGAACATCTCTGCATCCGTTAATTAAGACTTGCTTGTGCCAGCATTTAATTATACCAGGGGTGGGTAGTATGTGGTTTGTCTAAAAGTGCAAGTCCCATCTACCCTAGCAAGCACCATCACTGGTGCAAGATGATGGGAGTTTCACTCCTCCATTTGGAGGAGCACATGTTTCCCGTCCCTGGCTTAAACAGAAAATTAGGGTTTTTTTAAAATATATGTACTTGTTGGGTAAAGAAGCAGCTGGAGGATTGCCCTTAAGCTGCTAAGATGTTTCCCATAAGCAAATAGAATTCTGATCAGGTTTTTTTTACAGAAAGCATCGTCCCCTTCCCTCTCTCTCTGTTATCCTAGGAGGTTCTGGCACACTACTCTCACCGCGCTCTGGATGATGATATCAGGAACCAGATGGCAATGGACTGGGTCAGTCGGGAGCAGAACATTCCAGGTGCCCTTTCCAGGGAGTTGGCCCTGACCGAGCAGGAACTGGAGGAGGCCCGGCTGGCTGGGAAGGAGCTGAGGTTTCACAAGGAGAAGAAAGACATCTTGATGCTGGCAGCCGGCCAGCTGGGAAACCTGCACTCTTCCAACTGTTAGAGGAGCCCCCACGAAAGCGGTTCTCTTCCTTGTTCCTTGCCCCTGCTTCTAACCTGCGAAAGCAGCCTTACCTGGTGCTGTTGCAAAGCTGAAAGAGGCAAAATACTCCCCTAATTTACTCCAGATTTTTTTTTCCATTCTTAATTGTGTAGTACCGTTTGCATTTTGGAGGTTTCAGCCTAATCTGAGCATCAGATGTTGCATTCGGCAAGGAAATAGCCCTTATTGCCTTATCTTTTCTTTAGACAGTTCTGAGATCCAAGTATCCCTCAGAGAGCCCCCCCCAAAAGTGTCAAAATCTGGATTTTGAAATCTGCCAAGATTTTGACTTTGTTCAAAACAGAATTCTGAGCGCAACTGTATCACTTAAGAGTATTTGTAGATCCTTCCTTTTTTAAAATAGAAGCCCTTTTTGCACACCTAAAGAACTTGTTAAAATGTCTGGATAGTTTTTCATCCTTGGATCTCTTCAATTACCTCTTTCTGTCTTTTCTGGAGAATTTCTTATAGAGCACATTTTGATGTAACGTTTTCAGTGTTAAATAGACTAACACGTCCTGACTTAGAATTCAGTTCTGAGTATTGTGTAGTCAGCAGTATTAAGTGGAAATGTAGCACTGCCAGAGGAACACTAGGGTGTTGTTTTTTTTGCTATGGAGATGATGCATACCTGAATATTAGGCAATATGTATTCCTGCAGTTTGCATAGCCTTGATACGTTCGGCCTCCCCTCGCTACCTGAAAAAGCACAGCACTTAAAAAACGCTAGTTTTCATGATTCTCCCACTAAGATGAGAATTTCAATTCAGATGGGTGATACTGTAGCTGTGGTGTCACTGTGGACTGCCTAGTGTCTTACTGTAAAAATTCCCTTCCGTGTGAGAATTTGACTTGAGGCTCCCTAAAACTGTCTGGGCACATTCTTTGTTTACCGGCTGTTGGCTCTTCCTTGTCCCGTATACTTCATCCGGTTGCTTCCTTAATTTCTTTTTATCAGAACACCAACCCTATACCAAACCACCACACTCGAGGTCCTTTAAGTTATCCTGCCTTTAGAGAAGAGGGTGTTATCTTCAGTGCAATGATAGATTCCTAACCTTGAGCAAAATTTTGCTTTTTCTTTTGTCTTGACTTTTGCAGTGGCGGGATGTAGTCAATAGTAAGGTGTGCTACTTCTGCGGTGTCCCCTGATCGGCCACCCCAGGCTTGAGTTGTTCCTTCTCAGCAGTGAAACTAAAATCCTTTTACTGGGTTATGGATTTTGTAGGCAGAAAAAAATGTGTCACCGTGAGCCAGAGAAGAAAACCCACTAGAGGGAAGTTCAGTTGTTATACCATGTTTCTGCTTTGTGTGGCTTGTCTTAGCCGGTGTGTAAGGCTGCAGGGAATTCCACACACAGTTCTGGCTCATTTCAAATCAAGCAGCTTAATACGTCTTGAGAAATCACAGTGGCGCTGGTCTCGGCAAATTTTTATCCTCTTGTGCAGTAATCAGAAATGCTGGTTGGTTAAAAAAAAGAGCATGGAATTGTCCAAAAACATTTCAATGAGGCAGCTGCAAGGGAAAAAATTAACCTCTGCGTGGGAGCATTCCAGAACATTTCTGGATGGCAAACATGATATTTGCACTTTTTTAAAAAAGAAAAAGAAATGGAAGCTAGGAGCAGGACTCTTAAGGAGCAATACCAACTTTGTATATAGATATATAGAAAACACTGTTTGAAATAAGTTTCAGAGACAGAAATAATTCTGCAGATCACCTGTACTGGAGGTAGGGCAGGATACTTGTTAGAAAAGGGAAAATCAGGTTGGTCTCTACTAGGAGCTCGTAACCTCTCTTACTCTCGGGAGAACCTGAGGTGCGTGTGTTTTGACTTTGTCCCATTTATTTGTGCATAGAGTTGAAGATAAGCCTTCCAATGTGCCCTTTTAAGATTTGGGACTGTGGGACAGCATCCGGAACAAGCAAAATATGGTGGTTAAGGAACAGCTAAACACTAAGGAAAAAACCATACTACGGCATTTGTGTGTTTCTAATTTTCAGTGCATAATTCAGGGTGATATGAGAACCATAATCGGTTTTATGGATTGTAGTAACCTCAGAACAAGTGACTGGTAGTTACGCAGACTCACTAGCATAGAGGACAGGGTTGGTTTTTAAGCAAAATATGGTGGTTAAGGAACAGCTAAACACTAAGGAAAAAACCATACTACGGCATTTGTGTGTTTCTAATTTTCAGTGCATAATTCAGGGTGATATGAGAACCATAATCGGTTTTATGGATTGTAGTAACCTCAGAACAAGTGACTGGTAGTTACGCAGACTCACTAGCATAGAGGACAGGGTTGGTTTTTTTTTTTATACATGCAGTTGACTAGAATCTTAAAAGGGCCCACCAAACTGCAGTAGTAATGAAGGCTTCAAAGAAGTTACTTTGCCAGGGTGGAAAGTACAGCTGTGGAACTATATATGTGTTTGTTCCTTTGGATATGGTGCTACATTTTGCGCCATTAGAGTGTTAAACCGGTCTCAGATCTTCAGGGTCTGGATTTGTGTCTCTTCTGATGCACGTGAAACCACGTGTAACTGAATTATCGCACGGAGCTGATTCTGAGACACTTACCTATCAACAGAGTAGAGCATCTTTTTCACGGGACTCTACCCTCCCACTGGTATAAAGTCTTGTTTTTTTAAAAAGCCTGTTCACAGCAAAAACAAAAGGTCCTTTGGGCTCTATGAAGACTAAAAAAGATATTAACAGGCATTAACTTTTGTGGATATCACCCACGTTGTGGTAGTACTACTTCTTATAATGGCTTTGGAAGGTCTACGTGTGCCACAGGGGCTTTGTGGAGCTTCTGCGTGGACAGATTACGTTTCAGCTGGAATAGGCTTGGTCAGCTTAGAATCTTACAGTGGCAGACAGACGCGAGGTCGGCAGCGGTACATAGCATGTCAGGGTATTAAATACAGTAATTTCTTTTATTTAAACTGGCATGCAAACAGTTACTCTCCGGCTTATTCATGCTGATTGCGAATTGGCATAAAACAATACTGAGAGCTATGGAATAAGAGACAAGCGATATCTCACTTGAACCAGCTTCAGCAGGTGAAGCGCTGTCCACTGCACCCATCCATCCACGCGGCCAGAGTTTGTATCCTAAAAGGAATGTCATTTTTACCCATGAAGGAACCAGCAGGGCGGATTTGATTTCAATCAAATTGATTTAAGTCATGATTTAATTTAAAAAAAAAAATCATATCATTTGGGTGATTTAAAAGTCATGATTTAATTTTTTTAAAAAAATCATATTATTTGGGTGATTTCAGTTTTAAAAAACCCTTATTTTTAATTTACATTGTGATGTAAATCAGTTTGATTTTAAAAAACCGTTGATTTTAAAACCACCAGGCAGTGGTTTCTTTCATAGGAGAGCAAGTCTGGTTTGGAGTCTTGTTTGCAGGCCAGTTTTGTGGGCTCAGGTGTCGAGGTGGGACTGCTCCAAAGCCGCCCCGCTGCTTGTCACCTCATTAACTGGGATTTTACACCTTGACGCTTAACTGCATAGCTGGCTGTTTCGGACACTTTGTCTCTGGAAATAATTTTCAGAGGACCGAGAAGCACATTTGCTAAAGTTCAGAGCGTTGTGTCCTTGTTCCCGCATTTTGGGACTCAAAAATGCGACGCCTCTGGTGTTCCCACATCCTCAAAATATTTTAAGGGCTGTGGGTGCCCCTTTTGCCATGTTTTGAGGGGCACCCCTGGGACACTCCCCCCCCCACACTTTTAAAAATAAAAACAAAATACATTTTGGTGCCAGGTTGCTTTTTCATTTAAAAAAGAAAAAAAGTGAGGAGCACATTTTTGTAAGGAAAAAAAATAGGAAGGGTGCAAGTTTTGGGAATGAATGAGGCCCTTCAAGGTTGCCAGCCTTGGTACATGGGGTCCCTAGACCGCCACGTCTTCAGAAGCTTGGCCTGGGTGCTGAGCCCCGATCCTAAAAAGGAAGAATGGGGGGAAAAAGGGGTTGCAGAAGATGCGTGGGCAACGTAGCTGCGCAAGGCAGAGCGGGCACCGTTCTCTTGTGACCTCAAGCCTTGTCGTTTGTACGCCTGAAATGATAAATCCGTCGTGTCCTTTTTATATGTATCTATTTTTATATACGTACAGCCTTGTTTACACAATAGATTAATGTTTAAACACCTTTATAGAGTTGGCTTATAAATGATCCTTTGAAGGTTTTTATATGAATGTCTCCAGTTTTACTCTCACTTGCCCGACCCTCTCCTTCTTACACAGAACAGACCACAATTCAGGGATGTTCCCCTGTGGAAACCTGCCCACAGATTTTTTTCGTTCTGGGCAGGCCCCAGTCATCACTCACAACCTGAAACATCATCACGCTCTTCTCTTGGTGCTGATTTTCTGAACTTTCTGCCGATCTTTTTTCAGTGTTTTGTACCCTCCAGATTTTCCGTACAGCTTTTCAGAGTTGTAAGGTTCTCACACTGCTTCCTTGTCCATTATATTCAGTACAGTACTTATTTTGTAATGCCTAATTTTATACAATAAATAGCTTTTTTTTGAGATTGTCTAATTTTATACAATAAATAGCTTTTTTTTTTGAGATTGTCGTTTCGCTTCTTTCTCTTTCTCTCTCTCTCTCTACGAAAAGTCTTGCCACCTCTCTCTCTCTCTCTCTCTCTCTCCGAAGTCTTGCCATTTTAATTTTCGAAGGAAGCGTGATTCCCGAGCTGGTTCTGTCTACATCCTGCAGCCTAATTGGCTGTCTTTCCTTTCCTCTTAGCTTAATTAAAAGACTTTGACACTCGGCTGTGAAAGCTTAAGAAAACTCCAGATGTCACCCAGTCTGCCAAACCGCTTTAGGAATTGTCACGACGGCATTGTGTTGACATTCAGCAACTGGGTCAGCCAGAAACATGATCCTGTAGGCTGTGTTTGGAGCTTTTTCAGGACATTTCCCCCCCACACACACACACACACCTTGCAATTAGAGAGGATGCTTTTGGATAACCAGCTCTGTTGACCCTGAGGGTGCAATCAATTTTCAAAGTGGGAAACTGAGGAACAAGCCATTTTCTTTACCTTATTTACTTTGTGCCAGACTTGGATTGTGGAATTAGAGCAGAGCTAGTCTGCTTTTTGCAAATTCTGATTTAAAAAACCCAGGTGGCGGGATTGGTCCTTCCACATAAAATATACCCCTGGTGGCTGGATGCCATTTGAGACTTCTTGCAGTGTTTTAAAGATAACATTTCAGTTGATCTCAAAAGGGATTGCTTTGTTAGCCTGGTGCAGCAAAAAATAACAGCCCTAAAAGCTAAGTTTTAGTTGGCATCAGCTTTTGCGGACTGGAGCTGTCATCCTACTGACTGAGAGCCACGGGTACATTGAGGCATCCTTCTTGCACCTTAACTTCCACCCCACGTAAACACAAAAGGGGAGCTCGTCTTTTCAGTCCTGAAAAGAATAAACTTCCGCTTACTAGAACCAAGCTCGTGCAACATGGTGAGACTTTCTTCCCTCATTGTAAAAATCAACCAGAGATTAGGCAGCTAAATAGGACTACACTGCAACCCTGTTGTTAATAGATGCTGACAAGGGAAGACTGCTTCATTTCACGTTTTCTACCTGATCCGCCTTGTAAGGTGTTGAGTCGCTGGTGGAAAGATAGGGTAGTGTTTACTTGGAGTGGAAGTTAAGGTGCACAAGTGGGCCCATGTTTTGGCTGACAAAAGCCAGAATTTCTTTGCTTTTGTAGGTATACATCCAGCCCTTACGTTTTAACCCTTTGCTGCCCTCCCTATAGCCCCAGTCTATTCACTCCAGAACGGGGGGGGGACCCCACAAGGCTTCCCTCCGGTCGTCGCAGGATTCCCACCACGTGGACAGGCTTCCATTCATTGCAAGACTTCCTATGTATAGACCTTCCTCTTTGGGACTGGCCACGCGTTCTTTCCCAGGGAGCACAAAGTGCGCAGGCGCAGCGTCCCGTAGCAGGCCCCGGCAGGACAGCCCGACCTCCCCAAGATGGCTCCCGGCCCGCTTGCTCGCCCTTGCCTCCCTTCTTCCCAAGAGCCCTCTGCGGGCCGGCGTGTGCGCAGGCGCAGCATACCAAAAAAGGTTTCTCCCTTTCGGCGTTCTGACCTCCCCAAGATGGCCCCGCGCTCTCTCGACCGTCCTTCCCAGGAGCCTTCCGCGGCGTGTGCGCAGGCGCGGGCGCCCGGATAAACTCCCGTCGTGCCCTGCGCCCACTTCCGCCTGGCTGACTGGCTAGGCCGAGGCGCGTTTTCGCCCGTTGTCGCCGCTCTGAGGGAGACGCTCGTTGACCGGCCGAGATGGCGGACGTGCTGGACCTCCACGAGGCGGGCGGCGAGGACTTCGCCATGGACGAGGACGGAGACGGTAAGGCGGGCGGGGCGGCCCGTTACTTTGCCCGTTACTTTTCGTTATTAGTCGTTACTCCTCCCAGTAGCCAAAGTGGGTGGGTGGGAGCTTTCAGCTGGCGGGGGCCGTGAGAGGGCGGACACGACGGCCCTGCAAGGTCGGCTCCCCTTTGGGCTGAGGGGAGGGGGTGAGGAAGAGGGGACCTCTGAGCATGTGCTGAGGCCCAGATGGATGAAAACCAAGGGCTTTATTTTTTTTTTTTTAAAAAAGAAAATCAAATTGATTTTAAAACGATTAAAATTTTTTAAAAATTGGGATTTAAAAAAAATTAAATGGTCAAAAATTCTGAGATTTTTCAAAATTTAAATCGCGGCTTGAATCCATTTGATTTAAATCAAAGCCACCCGGGCGGAAGACGAGGGGGCGAGAGCACCCCTGAGTATGTGCAGAGTCCAGAAATCCTTCCTCCAAACCGAGCCGACAGAAAGCTGTCCTCTGGTTTTCCACCACCTTCTGTTTCATATCTTCTTTTTGCCCAGGAGATTTTCCAGCTGTGAAATTAGCAGACTGGGTAAAAAAAAAATTAATGATCATGATTCAGATGACGATTGAGATAAAAACATGGATTTTTAAAAAAAAAATGTCAAAAAAAATCCAATTTAAACAAATATTAAATCATGGTTTATATCAATTTGATTTAACTCGCATGCTCTCAGGGAAATTTGGGGGGAGCGAATTTTCTTTTCCAAGAACAGCGTTTCCTTTTTCCAATGGGAAAGTTTTGAAACTTTGAAGAATAGAGAGGAAAGAAAGCGATCATAATACAATAGCTTCCTTCCTGTCTCTCTGTCTTCGTCTTTAAACAAGAGAAATTCTTTGAAGACAAATGTTTAACTGCACAGTAAGGCACATTGGTTTGTAAAGAAGGTCCATTATTTACTCCTACCCCCAAACATGCTTGAATTTGCAAACCATCTTATTCACAAGACAGGAATAATACACTTCTGGCGGTTGAGTTTGAGTAGATATGAAAGAGTGTGTGTGGGTTTCGTACAGCAATTTTTACGTCATTTTTTAAAATGATGTAAGTCACCTCGGGTCCTTCTAAGGAAAAGGGTGGAGTAAATATAAATAAAATAAATAAATCCATCTTTACTTTATGGAAACAAACCAGAGCCCCTACCCCACATTACGGACAGGTGAATGGACAGTCTGTTGACTTATTTGGTTTTTTTCTGCAGAAAGCATCCACAAGTTGAAGGAGAAAGCGAAGAAGAGAAAAGGCAGAGGCTTCGGGTCAGGTGAGACGGTCCTCTCTTCCACATCTGTATTCAAGGCGTTCCCATCTGATCCTTCAGTTTTCACCTCGTTGTCCCGGAGGCTTCACCGGCGATATTCCAGCCGGTTCCTACGCCCATCCCCTGTTTTATTCATGGGAAGACCGAGTGGCAGCTGTAGATCACAAGTGTTGGGTGACTTAAGCAGCTAGTTTAAGATTAATATCAGCCAAGGGAGGGCTTGCAGGAATAATAATAATAATAATTTATTGTCATTGTAAGTATATACACAGTATACCATACAACGAAATTCACAATGTTGTTTCTGTCATCGCCCTGGGCTTCAACAGCACCCAGAGCCCGAAAGGGCATGTGGAGGTGGATCTCACCTGCTTTCGTGAGCTCCGTGCCGTTGATAGTGGGTAGATTTTCCTGCTTTTCAGAAAGAGAGAGAAAAAGGGACTCCCACCAGGGAAAATAGCGGCAGGCTCTTTTCTGTTTCCACAAGCGGGAATAAAGATGCTCCCTGAGTTTTCCACAACAATCTTAGATGTACTACATGGAAGCAGTGTCTCTCTCTAGTGTCATCTGTCTGACCATGAGATCCTTCTAGGCTAGACTACTCAGCGTAGCCACCCCTGGCTGACTGAGTGTTTTGCTTTCTGTCCTGCTGTTATTGGGAAACTGGCACTGGTTGGTTTGTGTGCTGTTAGTTTTTTAATTTTACGGTTTGTTTGTTTAATATATGTTTTTAATTGCTAGTAAACTACTCATGGGGGTGGTATATAAATTAGAGAGAGATTATTTTCTGTTGGGTTCTCTTTCGGTCTGTTATCATGTGGGTTGTCTTCTTAGGTTTCTCTGCCTGGCCGTTCTCTACCACATCCAAGTGGGATTATGGGGTGCCCCAGACAATATTTAAATCACAACCAAAAAATAAGGTGGTACCCTAAAGACTGTTATATTTTGGAGTGAGTCTGTCACAGCATTTTGTTATTCGTTGGACTAACATGGCTGCTGCTTTGAAAACTGTGAACGACGGGTTTCCCTGGTAAAGGGACGTCTATAAGAGACCTACAGGGTTTCAAATGTCGTCTCTGGGGGTGGCTGGCATTCAGGGTGCATGACGGAAGAGTCCCTTTGGATTGTGTTCAAGGTTTCGGAGAAGTATGAGGCTGGAACGGTGGATCAGTGGGGGAAAATGAGGGTGAGATTCTTTCTTGTAGATGACCAGGGCGTGTGATCAGAGACCTTTCTTGCACATGAAATCAAGGTGATTTCAAGGTCTCTGGCTTGTCTGCCTTAGGATGCCAAGGAAATAAAATCTGGATTATACCAGGGAACCCTTTCCTGCTGTTCATAGCTGATGACGTGCCAAGTTCACATAGAAGAAGTGAGGGTGCCTAAGGATTGCAGGTGCCCTCAGTGTATCTAAAAAGCATTTTGGGTGTGTTTATTGTGTGAACAGAGGAGGGATCCAGGGCCCGGGTCCGCGAGGATTACGACAGCGTGGAGCAAGACGGAGACGAGCCAGGACCTCAGAGATGTGAGTAGGTGTCGAAAGAGGAGGCTGACGTGTCCTTCCAGGGAGGGGCAGGCGTGGGGCACAAAGACCCTGATAGTTTCTACTAATGGCTCGCCCTGTCTCGTTTTCCCGTGGCTACAGCGGTGGAAGGCTGGATCCTCTTTGTCACGGGCGTCCACGAGGAGGCCACGGAAGAGGACATTCACGACAAGTTTGCGGAGTTTGGTGAAATCAAGAACCTCCACTTGAATCTTGACCGGCGAACGGGTTACTTGAAGGTAGAGAAAGGCCTGCTTTCGTATTTTTCCAGAGCTCTCTCATGGAAGGAGGCCAAGCCATGATCCATTTACACTCCTCTCCACATGTTTCAGGTTTTTTTTTTCTTTGATGGTCTGGATGAACAGCCTTGGGGGGGGATGAGGGTAATCATGTTCCTGTCGTCTCCAGTATGGCCCCAACACCTGCAGATTGACATAGAACAGAACAGAGTCGGGCCCATGTGGTGGATTGTCTTTGATGGTCTGGATGAACAGCCTTGGGAGGGGGGGGAATGAGGGTAATCATATTCCTGTCGTCTCCAGAATGGCCCCAACACCTGCAGATTGACGTAGAACAGAACAGAGTCAGGCCCATGTGGTGGATTTTATTTATTTATTTTTTTAATATCTGTTTTATATCCCACCTATCTGGTCGGTTATGACCACTCTTAAGGCAGACGTGCAAGAGAAAAGCAGCAAAATAGGAATGCGGGCACTATCTGGTCGGTTAAGACCACTCTTAAGGCAGACATGCAAGAGAAAAGCAGCGAAATAGGAATGCGGGCGGTGACGGGTTGGCTTCATCAATGTGAGGTTGATCTGTTGAGCTTTTCATGTGTCAGAGAGCCATAGCCATCCTCAGTTCCCTGGCAGTTAGCTGGAGCAGGTGCCTTACATGGAGTTAGACCCTTATTCCATCTGATGCAACATTGATAAAACTCGCCGGCAACACCTTTCCGGGGATTTCTAATCGCACTCTCCCCCCCCCTTGGATAGGCCATGGATTCAAAGCCATGTGTGCTCTGTTAAGGACCCGACCCTTCCCTCTGTTTTGTCTCTGGTGTCCCTTTTATGGCTGTAGAGCAGAAGTTCCCAGCCTTGGGTCCCCAGATGTTCTTAGACTACAACTCCCAGAAACCCTAGCCAGGACAAATAGGAGATGGAGACTAATTACGGCAGTGTGATTGGCTACCCTAAGCAACAGGAGTCTGGTCGTTCTTTACAGCCAGGGCGAGCTTTGTTCCTTGGCAGGTGGATGCAACTCCTGGGTGCACTCAGAAGGCACCTTGTGTCTCTTAATGCAGAGGAAGTTGGCACACAGTTGTGGGTGGGTGGGCATGGATCAGCTGATCTACACCAGCGGTCCCCAACTTTGGGTAACCCCCATGTTCTTGGACTGCAATTCCCAGAAGCCTTGACCATTAAGGCAGGGTTTTCTGGGAGTTGCAGGCCAGCAACACCTGTGGTTACCCAAAGTTGGGGACCTCTGATCTGGGCAGACGGGACGTCTTTTTGGTTTGCCGGCTCTGCCTTCACCCGAACGTCATTGTGTCTCCCAGGGTTATACGCTTGTGGAATATGAAACCTACAAAGAAGCCCAGGCGGCGATGGAAGGGCTGAACGGACAGGACCTCATGGGGCAGCCCATCAGCGTGGATTGGTGTTTTGTCAGGGGGCCTCCGAAAGGAAAGCGCAGGTGAGATTTTCCCGAAGGGAACAGGTGTGAAGGAGTGGTCTTGTCTTCACAGCAAAGCCAGAAGCTGGGGCTTCCAGGCTGCTCACGTTCTCTGCTTCCTCGTTTGCCACCAACAACTGTCTGGCTGAATGCTTAGTGACATGTACTGAATCTGAGGAAGATCCAGAGTATTTCATATTAAAAGGTTTGGAATCCCCTGATTTTTCAAAACAGATTAGAAGCTTAAAGGAACTGGTACATCCGGCGATAGCAGAAGTCAAAAGGAGAGTCCGGGTCTCAGGATGTAGAAAGATGTAAATAATCTTTATTCCGATTTTAAAATGCTCAACATGTTTTGGCACACGGCTGTTTAAATCTTTTTGCATCCTGAGGCCTGGACTCTCCAGTTGTCTTTGGAAAAATAAATTGGAGCCAAAGGGACAGAGCTTTGATTTAAGGGTTTTTGAAAACTTACAAACTTAAAAACTTAAGAGTTTGTAAATACCCTTGTAGCATCTAAAGTTCACTCTTATTTTCCAGAAACAGAATAGAAGTAAAGTTGACAGATTCTGTGACATAGGTGGGAATTGAACTCATGTCCCTGAGGGCCAGGCATCAGGCTTATAATGTGTATTATGGTGAACTGATTGTTGGCTAGCAGCATATTTTATTCTCAGGCTGTTTTGCTTCAGACTCTGAAGTGGCTTTAGGGTTGTGTTTTGTTAGTCGTAGTCTCGGTGCCCTGATAAATTGGACAGTGCTTACTCCAGCGGTGCCCTTAACCCGTGTTCTCTTTGCCTTTTTTCTTCCCCTCAGGGGTGGCCGCAGAAGGAGTCGGAGTCCAGACAGGAGGAGACGTTGAAGGAAGCGGGTTTTTTATTTCCTCTTTTACTATTTCCATGTGAATCTGAGGGAGTTTCATCTTGGCCCTACTCAATGGGCACCATCGCCCGCTTAATTTTGTATTTGTCCCTTTAGGTTACTGGTTAATTTTTTTTTATCAGTCTACTTATGTATTGAAATTTATTAAGATTTTCTCTTGTAGGTGTCTTTTGAAACACACCTTTCTCTCTCTCAGGAGAGATCATTCTGAGATAATTCTTTTCCCCCTGAACGTGGCGTCTCTGAAAGCAACATTCAAAATAAACTAACTAAGTTGTTGGTTTTTTAACAGTCTAGTTTACCTATATTTTCTCTTACGAAAGGTGCGTGTTTAGCAGGGTGTTGAGCTGGCTTAGTCGTGACCCACAGAGTTGGCTGTAGCACCTCATGTTTTTTGCACCCGATTTCACTCCCTGCCCGCTGGGATTTTCACAGATTTTTCTCACCACCTTTTCAATGGCTGCAGTATATTTTTTCTTGCATAAGAGTGGGGGACTGGGAATAGGGTTTTTTTCCCACTAGGAGTAGAAAAGTTGCATTTTGGGGCAAATAATGGCACTTTGTCCATAGAAGTTGTATCACGTTTTTGCTTCTTTTCTCTCTCCCCCCCCCACCCCCAAAAAAGAAAACCTCTTAAGAAAATGCAAGAAAAAAAACTGATTTTACCCAGCTGGTGAAAACCTCTGAAGTATGTTATTGCTGTTAAGGATGGAATTTTCATATAGTTTTGCGCTGCAACACCCAGAGGTCTGTTGGAGCAGAATTCAGGGTGTGTGCGGGTGTTCTTCAGCCCTCCCCCCCAAAAGCCTCTCTCCAGGGTTTGATATAACTTGTAGCTGGTGCATAAATGTGGGGAAAAACCACCCCCTTCATTTCTTGGGTTCCTGAGCAGAGGAAATGGCTGGGTGGTGCTGTCGTTGTCATTTTCCCATCCAAGACATTACCTCTCAGAAAACTGCCCTCCCGTTGTGGGCCTGAGAGACCTCTGGGTGTTGCAGGTTAAAAAAATTGCAAACATCCCCTCCCAGGTCCCGAAATCCTTAGCCTTCGTGACCCCTCTTCAAGAGCAGGATAAATCTGCTTCCTTTCTCACCTCTGATCGCTTCACTTTGCTTCAGGCAGCTTCACATCCAGATGTTTCGTTAGGAGCAGGAGAAACTACTGCTCTCATCCTCCCCTATAGATCAGGGTGGGAAACCTGGGCTGAAGCTCCTGTAATCCCCCTTGATGGCTGACTTTGCGGTTTTGTAGATGAATTCTGCCAGGAGAGCTATCCCGGCCAGAGATGTGTGGCGTAGAGCAACCTTGGAATGGCCAGGAGGCGGCTGCTGATAAGACGTTATATGGTGGACTTGCTGGGAACGTTAATCTGAGCAGTTCTCGATGGTTTATGAGATTACAGTATGACCCCTGGATCTGCGGGGGAATCAGTTCTAACCTCCCCCCGCGAGGAGGCGGCTGCTGATAAGACGTTATATGATGGACTTGCTGGGAACTTCAATCTGAGCAGTTCTCAATGGTTTATGAGATTACAGTTCTAACTTCCCCCCGCGGATGATGAAAAATGTGGATTCTAGCAAACGCTGTTTTAATAGCCAACACTATAGATAGCATGGTCTCTGGCTCCCTCTTGTGGCCAGTTCTGGTCACCTTGTCTCTTGAAATCTTTATGGCTCCCTCTTGTGGCCAGTTCTGGTCACCTCTCTTGAAATCTGTATGCTTCTAGGGTTTTTCTTTTAATATTTTCAGACTGGAGAGGTGAATCCGCAGATACTGATCCTGCGGATAAGGGGGACCTACTGTAATTCTTCTAGTAGATAGCCGTCCCTTGTGATGAATTTATTCTGCAACCGTAGCCATGAGCAGAAATGAGACACGGAATGAATATCGGATCTTGAGAAAATATTCTTTATTTATTGGTTGGGGGCTCTGGAGTTGAAAGGGGTCACCCCAGGGTGGCCTCATTCCTTTGGGTGAGAATACGGACTCTTTCCCGCACCGCTTCGTATCGTGTCAAATCAAGCTCTTGGCCAGCCTGCTCTTCCTGTACAGCCCCAGCGGTTCCTCCGCCGCCGCCCGCTCCAGTTTTGGCCCCCACCGGTTCCTCGGAGGCTTTGCGGGCGTCGCGCTGGCCGTGGGAGCCCAGAAGGAGCCACGAAGCCTGAGAGAGCCCTCCCTCTCTTTGTGGCTCTGAGCGCCGCAGCAGGAGGCCCGCCTGCTCCCCGCTCGGACGTGCATCGCGAAGAAACCATAGACCAGGGGGTCCAGGCAGGCGTTGAAGAGGCCGAAGAGGAAGAGGATGTGGCTGAGGGAGGGGGGCACCCGCCCGCTGGTCAGCATCTCCGGGGAGAACCAGTACCACAGGCCGAGCAGGTAGTAAGGGGTCCAGCAGACCACGAAGGTCAAGACGATGACGGCCGACATCTGCAGGGTACGAAGGCGCACCCGGGGGATGTTGTCGTGGGACCGACGGAGGCTGAACTCCGGCGAGGTGGATGACACTGCGGGAAGACCAGGAGACAAGGGTGAGAGGCGGGCAGGAGAAAAGTTTGGAGGGGGGGCTGGGAAAAGCCAGAAGATGGCCTTCGCCATGGAATGGTTGGGGGGAATCATAGGGTTTGTCGTCTGGATTTCTTTGAAAGAAGGCCGATGTTATTAATCCTAATCATCCTAATAGAGCTGCAGAACTGAAAGGGACCTATGGCTCCTCAAGTCCGGCCCCTATCAAGGAAGCACGGCGGGCCAGGGATTGGATTCAAACTCTCAACTTCTGGCTCCGCAGCCAGAGATCTAAAGACCTGAGCCATCCAGCAGTTTGCGTTATTAAAAGGAATTTTAACTCGCTAGGTCTTAGGAACTGCTGGACCGCTCGCCATGCTTTTCCTTGGCCGCCCGCTTCAGAGAAGCTCCGAGCGGCCGGCGTTCGGTAGGGCGGACTCACCGCAAGCTTTCTTCATCTTCCCCGATATCTCGATGAAGATGCGGGCGTAGCAGGACACCATGATCAGCAGCGGCAGGAGGAAGAGGCAGGAGAAGGTGAACATGTTGTAGAAGGTCTCCTGCCAGTGAGCCCGGAAGCTTCCAAGGGTGGCACATTGGATGAAGAAGACGGGCCGGGACCGGCTGACGGTATGGAAGACAAAGATCTGAAAAAAATGGAAACGATGAGTATGAAGGCTGGACAGGAGAAGAAAGCAGACAGGGAGAAATGGAGTCGTTTGAAAAGTGGGGCTGGAGGAGAGCTTTGTGGGATACGCTGGACAGCCAGAAAAGACCGACCAGTGGGTGCTAGACCAGTTGGATTCACCTCTGGATGTTTTGTTTTTGGAAGCGAGGCGCGCACACCAGAACAGGAGACAGGACCCAAGATGGGGTCTAAACCAGTGCCAAATGGAAGGGGTCTGGTACCTCATGGGATTTGGAGATGATGCTTCTGTTAAAGCATCCTAAATTCGTATTGGCCTGTTTTTGCAGCCGGATCGCACGGCTGGCTCGTGTCCGGCCGGGGATCTCCTTCGTGGCCTGGGGTTCTCACAGTGGAGCCCGAGTCCATCGGTCCATGGTCTAGAGAAGGCCAAAGAGCCACCTACCTGAGGTAACGCCAGGACGAAACTCAGAGCCCAGGCCACGCACAGCATCCCCTTGTTCTTCCTCTTGGCCTCGCCCACGCTCAGAGGGTGCACGATGGCCGCTCGGCGGTCCAGGCTGATCACCACCGTGACGAAGGCCGAGGCGTACATGGCCACCAGCTTGAGGAACATGAGGAGCCGGCAGGCCAGGTCCCCGGCGTACCACTGGACCGTGATGTTCCAGGCCGCGTCCAGAGGCATCACCACGAAGGTCACGAGCAGATCGGCCGCGGCCAGGTTCATGAGGAGGATGCGGAGGTGGGGTCTCCGCTGGTACTTCTGGGCGACGGTCCGGAGCACGGCGATGTTGAAGCACGCCGAGGAGCAGAAGAGGGCCACGGTGATGCCCACCCGGACTTTGGCGGCGGTGGAGAAAGTAGGGAGCTGGAAGGCCTCCTCTACCGGGAAGGTCTCGTTCGCGGCTCCGCCGCTGGCCAAGATCTCCACAGCGTTGAGTTTCCCTTGACTCTGGTTGACGACCGAAGGGGTTACTGAGCCCACGATGGCGTGGCTCTTCATCTGGGCGGTGGGGTTCGCCAGGCCAGCGTCAAGCTTTCCCCAGAGGGAGCCGGCGTCTTTTGCCGAGCAGGAACCAAGGTCCTGGCCGGGCAAGGGGGACCCAATCCGCCTGGGACCTTGCCAAGCCTTTGGGAAGCCCTGCGCGTCTTGGAAGGTGGCAGAGCGAGGAGCGGTTGGGCATGATTTCCTGCTCGGATGGAGCCGTGATCAAACTCAAACGGCCCCGATCCGGCTCCACAAGGAAGAAGTGCCTTGTTAGATCGGCCAACTTTATTGTACCGGCAAATGTACAACAGGGGGGGAAAAGGGGTGGACTAATATGGGAAACTTGATGCTATTCTCTGACACCGCAGGACCTCGGGAATATCTGGCGTAGCTTGGAATTTATCCTTTTTAAATACTCTGACTTAAGTAAGGGGGTGGAATCGCCTTGCTTGAAAGGATTTCTAATATTTAAGACCAGTTTTGAGAAACCCACTGACTCCCAAGCGTGTCTTCAAAAGGCCTCCAAGCGCCTAAATGGGCCGTTGGGTTTTTGTGGCCAACACGCCGGCCACAGTTTCGGTTGTGGTCTTTTTTTCCCCCTGTGGTTCCTTCGTCTCTTCTCTGTTGCCGTTCTAGCGCCTCCTAAATAACCAAGGAGCAGACGGGTGAAGTCTGGCGACCTGCAGGGAAGAACATGGGGGGGTCATTTTGGTTTGCTTCCTCCTCATGATGGTGGGGTTTCCGTAGTATGCGGACGGCCACCCAGGGAAAGAAATCTGAGCCAGTGACGGCCCCTGGAATGAAATTGGGAAGGGCCTGCTTTGGTTCTGAAGAGCTGGATCTGGTGCACATCTACTTTTATTTCCTCAACACCAACCCTGTGAGGGAGGACTGTGCCAAGACAGAGAGAGGGACGGGCCAGTGAGTTTCATGGCTTAAGGAGTCTTGTAAGTAAAGCAAAGCATACGCAGCTCTGTCGTGCTTAAAGCAGCCTCTGGTGGTTTACAATTCAGTTATGCAGGCGACATAACATACATTCATGAGAAAAAAGGGGTGGACTAACGTGGGGGAATGTAGCGCTATTCTGCTCCGTGAAAGCCCGCCCTTCTGCTGTGTAGCTAGAGGAATTTAGCCAAAAATTCCAAACTCTTGCCACAGGAAAAAGAGAGTTAAAAAGGCAAGCAATGGCATCTATTAAAACGACAGGCAGTTTCAGAGAATATAAATCCTGGGATTTCTAGGTGAAAATGTTTAGAAGAAAGTCCCTACAAGCATCACATAAACTAGGACAGGAGGTACGTGTAAGGCGGCGCATCGAGGGCAGGGGTTTGAAATAGCCCCACCATCAGGGATTCGCTCACAGTTGGTCTCCTGCATTGGCGAGGTTGGGCTGGATGACCCTCGGTGTCCCTCCCAAATCCGCCAGACTGTGATTCTAGGAAAATATGGCTCAGCTTGGGAGTGGC